GCTGAAGAATTTGGGTCTTTGAGTTGCTGCAATCGAAAGCTTCATCAAATTACTACAACTGAAAAAAATTCTCCTATCTTGTTCGCATACAATTGATCATTGCAAGGTCTTTCTAAAACTACAAGTTGTCAAGCTTTTCGGATCATGTCCGTGACAAGACATAAATACAAGTTTGGGTCATATTCGTGATAAGAGAATCAGAGGGTTTTATTTGCCAAATAAAAAAAAAGAGTTTGTATCCCACTTATATTTTTGAAAATAAATAAATAAATTTCTTTGATTTGTCTTCATTAATTTTTGCGATCCAAATTTAACATGAAATTTGTGGCGACAAATGCAATGGGATCTATTTATGCTTCTACTTTTGCTCCTTGGGATGCATAATAACAACCCTTTTAGCCATTTGTGGCCATTGGAATGACAACTTTCATAGAGAGGGAGTAGTAATTGGAATGTTTCAGTTGTACCATATGCCTTTGGACAAGTAATTGCTTGCTAGTACTTTTTATAGAAAAATACATTTAGTCCATTAAGGCTAGAGGCTTTAAGATCTCCCGTAGAGTTAAGAGCTTCCTAAGCTTCATCATTTGTGCATTACTAAGTCCTCATTTTACTCCTTCACCGATTGATTAAAGGAATTCAGGATTCCATCTATATTTTCACTTTCACTCCTTTGAATTTATATGCAAATTTTGTAAGAAAATGATTCTTCATATCATTCATATTCACTAACCAATTGCCTCTATCCTTCCCAGTGAAGTGAAAAATATTATTTCGGTTATCATTGTACCAATATGAAAATATCTACGAAGAGTCATCTTTTTTTGACCAAATTCCCTATTTTTAGGATTTCTATAATTTCTTTTTGAACTTGGTTAAATAATTTTCTTTTTTTTTCCACAATATTTTCAAAGAATTTTTTCCATTTTTAATTTTTAAAATAACCCTTCTTGATTTTTAATAAATTGCATTCCTCTTCATTCATTGTTGGTTTTAGTCCAATATTGCATTCTTAGGCAAAGGCAAGGCACCTTGCTTCGATCTAATGTGCTGCTACATGCTTATTTTCAAGATTTCAATGTTGTGATATTTGCTTGGATCTAGTGAGACAAAAATTACAAATTTTGTGTCAAGTAGGAGTGTAAATTATATTACAAACAAGTAGATGCAAAATTGAACCAGGTGCAAAATTTGTATCTAGTTCAGATTTGCACCACAACCAAATGCAGCCAAAAGGTTRTATGAAATACAAAAGAGGGGAAAAACGATTCATGCAAAATGGATTAGACTAACATAAAGTTGCCTATACCTAGTTGCCTCCGCAACATGAGTGTTGTTATTGCCTTGTTAATATTTCTTTTTAGTGCAAATAAATGCCAAAGTTTCAGATCTTTAATGGATCAGAATCGTCAGATATATCTGCATCATGTCCCATCTAGGTATGAAAGGAAATTCAAAATTGACAAATCACAAATGAGAGATTGATCTAATGAATGTTCAAAAATCACAAGTTTGCAATGTAATATTGCCTTCTACTCAAAATAAGTAATCTTTAAATGATTGATAAAAATAAATAAATTTGTCTGGTTCCTCTAAGAACTCCCAGAATTTTCTTGAATTAGCATGTTGCAGGTGGTATGAAAATTCAAGTGTAGGAAATTACTATTATCTTTCAATGTGACGCAGGGCAAAAAAGAGATGGACTGCTTTTAGGGAAGAGGGATCATGGGGACCTGAATGGCCTTAGGAGGAAAAAGAGACGAATCTTTTACACCACTCACAAGAATCTTTACTAATATAAGAAAATAAAATAGAAGTAAAAGACGACAAGTCTTTGTTTTTTATATACAAAAAAAAAANACTGAATAGCACAACTAAAATAGTCCATCTAATTTTTTATAAGCAAAACAATTCACATTTTTATTTACAAAAAGCAAAATCTCCAAATGTACAAAAGATGACCATACAGTGAACAAAGCAGCAAAAAGTTGATCACACCCTTCTTTTTACACTATTTCCTTTACATTGATTTCCCCGGTCCAGGTTCAACCCAACATAAGTTTGTCTTTGAAAATCCTGCTCTGACCAAATCATCTGCCTAACTGTTTTTTTATCTAAGAACCTACCCAAACAAGCAATTCATGCAGATCCCCAATGCCGTAACATGATCACCAGAAATGCAGGACCCAATGCACATCATTCCCAGATTTAAGCCAACCTGAAGAATTTACACAACACTGAAGGATTGGCTTCTACTCTAAATGCTCAAGTGTCATGCACGGTTCATGACAAGGCAAAAGAGATTGTTCAGTTAATATCTGCTATGGCTGAAATTTGAAGAGGTAGCTGAGCTCATAACCTTCCATGATTGAGACACCACTATGGCATGCCACACAGAAATTCTTAGAGCAACCTAGGAGAACCAACACTGATATCATCATATGGCTTTAGTCTAAATTCGACATGCTCAAATTGCCCCATTGAATTGGAGAATCCAACCAGACAGGTAATGCAGGCCTGGCAATTCCAACTCCGGCTCCAATTCCAGTAACCTAGGAGGATTATTCAACATAGTCAGCAAAAAAAAAAAAATGTTTATTACTTAGCATGGAGCTTAGAAATATAAAAGTACAGGATAATGAAAGAAAAAATGTAAAAGCTTCCAGAATCCGTTTAAGGATACTAAACTCTGATTGTTTTGGCTTCATGAATATAGCAGGAGAAATTAAATATGCAATTGAATAGCTTACATGGTCAAAGACTTGATCATGTGGAAACACCAAAATATTTGCTATTCTAATAAGAGAAATGTTAGTAAGCAAGTTTATGCAACTCTTAGTTATCTTCACCCCAGAGATAAGGTGGAACCCATGAAAATGCATGTCCAACATTGCCATGTCAACTCTCCAATCATGGTTGAATGCATTAAATATGTATCTTACTGTATTGTAYGATATATGTCAGCTTTCAGGGTTAAATAATAATACTAGGTGAGCATTAATGGTGATAAGATGGACACWGATTGAAACTAAAAAAGAGAGAGAATTGATCATTTTAGACTAAAATGTGCACAAACTCATTTACTAGTACTCGTCCATAAATACTAACGTGTCAGAGTCATGTAATGATCAGGATCTAAAAGAAATGTGTCCAAAAAATAACGGTCCATTGCTGCCGCTTACTTCTATATACATTTTCTGTGGTCATGTAAAAATGCTTCCTCGGCTATATTGAATTCCTCCTTTGGATGAGTCTTCTTTGACGATGTATCCTGTTGAGGACATGATATGTATATAATGGCAATTAGTAGTTGTCTCCATACACAACTCAGTCCGATATGACATCTTTTGAAGCACCAACAAAATTGGACCAAACTTTCATCATGTTTTAACATATTCAACAAGCCACGGGTGAGATTTCTTCTAGAGGATAGTCCATAGGTTTCTAAGGTTGCTGCCCAACCTCAGACTGGGAGTAGAAGGAGATAGCAGCCCTTTTATCCAAAGTTGAACTTAGAAAATTGGGAGTTGAAGGAGATAG